AGCTATTCTTAACTATGAAATCTCTTGTCACCGATTCTTACTAGGCGAGGCTCCTTGGATCTACAGTTTTAGCTGAATCTCACGGTATGATTTTTATCGGTCCACATTTTCAAGATCTTTAAAAACACCGATTTTTTGCAGTGGATTTTGTCCATCAGCCGCTTTCTGCTGTTTCTTGATTGCTTTTTACTGCATCTGTAAAGTTCCGCTTAATTCGTGCTCAAAAATTTTCCATTTCACCTTTTAAGAGATGCAGTCCGGGAGATAAAGCTGTAGCTCCTAATTACCGCGGATCCCACTTGCAAGGACAAAAATCTTGGCAGTCGCTTTGCTTATTTTTCAACGTAAAAGGATTCTGTTATTTTTTGGATTATAATACTTAATTTTCCATTAATTTTGACTAATATTTATAATTTTTTATAACTGAAATATTAGCCACAACAGAAATGGAAGTATAGTCGGAGATATTGCAAATGAAGCATTTTTTGCAAATAGAAATGATGGGCCGAGTGTGAATCGAAAAATCCCTTTTTAGTTCCTTTATTTTTGTGCCCTGCTTTTTAATTTTTCGTTCCGTTCCAGTCTTTCATTATACCATATCACTGTTGCACCATCAGTTCCTACGAGCCTAATTTGTTGGATTACGAGCGTGACTGCTTGAAAATGCCAACTTGTTAAAGAAATTCGATGACATGGATGCCCTCAAAAAGTCTTTCCTTATTCATTCTTTACTTCTCCCTCTCGTTAAGTTTTTCTCCAAAAAATCTCGGTTTTTAGAGCACGAGGAATGCTTCTGAGTAAAACTCATTTTTTTTTTTTTGCAGACAGCAAACATATTGATGATATTGAAGTAGCGATACTGAGCAAGCAGATTGATGTATTTATCAGTTATCGTCGAAGTACGGGTAATCAGCTGGCCAGCCTTATCAAAGTGTTGCTCCAGCTTAGGGGTTATAAGGTTCGTGAGTTGCACATCATTCTCTCTGTCTGTGCTTTTTCAAGTGTATATGTGTGTTTTTCTTTTACGCTGATTTAAATGCAAAACCACAAATATTAGCTAAGAAGCTGTAATTCGTCAGAATGGACCATCCGTCGGTCTAAAAACAAAAACCACATTTTATTTTTTCCTTCATTCTAACACAGAAAAAGGCAGGGATTTGGCCTCACAACCTAGCATCATGGCAGTGCAATCGCATCATGGTAGTAGTATATTTCAATCAATTACCTATGACTAAGCCGAAAGTGAAGTCAAAAAGACAGCACAACGAGGTAGAAATAATACCTTATATTCTACTCTTTAATGTACCCAATATTCCGCTTTTCCAGTTTTTCTGGGCTGATCCCATTACTGGCGAAAAAGGCCGGAAAAACCGAAGCATCGCAGCAGCAGTGAATTTTTGCTCTAACAAGCTGCACGATTCCAATTATTGTTGTGGTGGGAGAGATGTCTTTTTTTCAGTAGTAAATTAATTCCGCTTTTTTTTTTTTACTTTTTTCGTTTATCAGATTGGTCACACATCTTTGTTTTTTTTTTTTTTTTTT